AAATACAGTACCAAGACCTAGAATTCATAGATCACTGACTCAGACACACATGCATTTTTTTTTTGGTAGATACTATTTGGGGAAGAAAGCAAAAAACAGCTGTTCAGAGCTGAAGTGAACCAAATGGAAACCTCTGGCTCCTCTCCAGGTCCTGAGTCCTCTGGTTCCAAGTCTCTCTCACCTCAGCTGAGCTTCTTCCTAATTCCCGCTTCGGCACCAAGAATGGTGAGGAGAGTAGGGTGGAGGGAAAGGAGGGGGTTAGAGAACTGCAGCCTATGTCCCCACCACACAACTGTGGTCAGACTTAGGGTCAGAGAGGATGCAGGTTGCTAATAAGCTCAAATTATACCCTGTAGCACAGTCCTAGGACAGAAAAGGGAGTGGGGTGGGGGTGGGGGTGCTGATGGAGGGTGCTGTGCATGATGGCACCTCTCCAGAAGGCTGTGCCTTGAGCCAAAGCCTGCGGATCACACTGACTGTGGAACAAGCCTCCAGCTAGGACAGTCTGGTCAAGGGCAGCATTCTTGATGCCCCTTTTTTCACTTCCTCTGACACAAGATATTCTTATTGCCTTTTCTTTCTACTTCCCCTCACAGAAAGATAAGTGGTTATAGAATCAGCAGGAGTTCCTGATTCTGATACCCAGGTCCCTTCCTCCAGGAGATCTCCTCTCTCTCTTGTTACCCATACTCCCCAGGAAGAGAGAGATGGGGGAGGCAACAGGAGGAGCCTGTAGCGTGCCAGGCCCCAGCTCTGCCAAGTTTGTGCATGTGTCCTAGTCAAAACAATAGCCCCACTGTCAGCAATTAGCCCACAGAATAGCACCAGAGAGAAAGGAAGGGAGGGAGGGAGAGAGAGAGGGAGAGAAAGCAGGAGAACAGAGCGGCTGCTGAAGGCCATTTTCATGCCCTTTCAGAACCACTCACTGGCACCAAAAGAAAACAACAACAACAAAACCCACTTACGTTAACTAGGCTGGCAGGCCCTGGTGGCATCACCCACTGCTGACTGGGGGAGCCTATGAGGCGCAGACTGGTAGCAGGGGCACCAGGCTGACATTTGGAGCCAGCCATTCCTATCACTGGCTCTATTGGCCTGGGACAGAGACAGCGCCCCTGACTGGACACCCGATGGAACCGGGGAGGTGGAACTGGAGGGTCTTTGGCAGCCCCTCTTCCATCAGGCTTAGCTCTTGAACTGACTGGAGGCAGGGAAGACGGAGGCTGCATTCCACCCTGCCCCAGGCAAGAACTGCCAGCTCTGCCCTAGGCTCTTCAAGGAGACTCGCAGCTCTCTCCTTCAGCTCTGGTGACACACTGGAGCCAGGCGCAGAGAGGGAGGGAGAGAGGCAGGAGGTAACACCCCCCTGCCAGGATAGCCTGAGCCGACAAACAGGCCCAGCTCACCCAGCTGAGGAAGCAGGATCCAGGAGCAGAAATCACCCAGCCCCTATAAATAGCGGGAACAGCCACACCTCTCTGATCAGGGGGCTTTTAAAAAGCTCCCAGCTCTAGTGTTGAGCAGAGTCGGTTTTACTTTTCTGGGGGCATCCCTTGAGGCAGGGAGAGTGATCTCCTAATAAGATTTTGGATGGCTCTTGACTGCCGGATACAGAGAGATAAGCAGCTCAGTGACCCTAACCAAGAAGTATAATTCTCTTCCTGATCAAGATAAAATTAAAGGAAAGGACATGGGAGAAATCTAGGCTATCTGACAAGTCTGCCATCCATGGGGGTCTCCTGGATTCCCAGTGGGGACATGAACTGGTAGGTGGGGTAGGGGCAATTACAGAAAACAGCAAATCATGATACATTCTATGGCCTAAGTCTTTCAGGTGGACAGATGGGAAGCCCCCAGACTTGGGAACCTACAACTGAGAACCAGATCCCTACCTACCTGTAGAGGTGCCCCAGCCATTTTTGTCTGGAATCAGGAACCAACCTACTCTTGACACAACAAAAAATTGCTGTACCATTATCTGCACAATGGATAATGGGGATGAGCTAACATTTAAATAGAATTTTAATACCAGCAAAGGGCTTTACACACATTCCCTGATTTGAACACCAACCCCCCCCCAAAAAAATGGGCAAGTGCTATTATCCCCATAGATGAAAAAACAGTCTCAAGGAGGTTAAGTGACTTGCCTAGGGTCACCTAGCTAGTAAATGTCTGAGCCAGAATTTGAACCTAGATCCTCTCAACTTCAGACAAAGAACTCTATCATCCCTATCTCTTTGTCTGGGGAAAGTGTGAGAGTCCCTACCAATAATAATAATGATGGCAAATCATTTTATCTTATGCTCATATAAAATTTTTCACTTTTTCTAAATTCTTTCAGACACATTCTACAACAAACCTGTATAGCCAACATGAGAAATATTATTATTTTCCTTACAGAGTTGTGTGGAAAGTGCTTCATAATTAGGAAAGTGTGATATAAATGCTAGTTTATTTTTTTATTATAATTATGTTTATTATCTCTATTTAATAGATGAGAAAAACTGAGTTGAAATGATTTGCTAAGTCACAGAGCTAGTTTGGGGCAGTGTTTGGGATCAGAACCCATGGGAGGCTCATTTTTAACTCCTTTTTGGCCAAGATGGCTCTAGCTCTGCCTGAGTGAGGGACTGTGGCGGTATTCTACTCTCCTCCACCTTCCTCTTCCAGTCATGCCAACATCTTAAACTCCATGTCATCCCACCCGTATTTAATCCTCCTACATTAGTGCTTAGCGACCAGAATATGACACCAGAACCCATAAGCTTAAGATTCGGCACACTGAAGATGAGGATATCCTAAGCCTATGGAAGACAGTAGGGAAGGGAGAAAGAGAGATGGAGAGAAGAAGAGGGAAGAAGGAAAGGTATAGGCAAGATTCTCACCGGATCAGCAGAAATCCTACGGTTTTTACTGGGTGCTATGTTCTTTCGGTTGGCATAACGTAAGGCATATGTGCGGGGAGGGACTTGAGGGGGCATGGTCTTGCTCCGAGCTACAGGCTTCCCAGGGGTGTCCTTGGCAAATCCCAGGAGCCCTCGGCCCTCTTTCCAGCCCCTCTTGGGATCCTGAAGCAACTCAGTGTCATAAGTAGACTTCAGGTTGAGGCGAGTTATGGCATCATTGATGCCATCATAGTCCACAGACCCCAGGAGGTTTCCCTGGCCCCCACTCCCAGGTTCTTCTTCTTCCTCTAGGATTCGACGACCCAGGAACTTGCTGGGAGGTTGCTGGTTTGAGGAAAAGGTGTTTATGTCATTGGGTTCGGAAGGCTTAGGAGAAAGGGAATAGGTTTTGCTGGGAGGCTGTGGGGGAGTATCCCAGATAGAAACCCGAGGAGGAATCGGGGGTGGGGACAGCTTCTTGGGGGAGCTATTCCTGTCCTCTGGCCTTGGAGGCAGAGAGAGCCCACCATCTGAACCATCAAAAATATAGAGATAGTCTCCAGAGAGGGGGCCCTTCAGCCAAGGATCTGGTCCCGGTTGGAGGCCCTCGGAGGTAGAGTGGTTAGGGGCTCCATCATGTGGGGAGAAGGAGTTGTAGTTGAGGGTGGGATCAGAGCCCGAGAGTCCTCGAAGAAGTTTAAGGTCATTCCTCCCACCAACTGGCTTGCCATAGAAGTCCAGGACAGGCCCATCCCAGCTGATAACAGAGGAGTCTGGGTTCTGCTTGGCTCGCTGGTTCTCTTCTTTATCATGCCGCAGCCGGGACAGAGCATCATACTCCATCTGAAGAGCCTCAGCCATTGCCAGCTCCTTTCGGCTAATGCCCACAGACTCCAGGGACTTCCAGTGCTCCCCATTCCCTTGGGTTGAAGACATGGTGGAGTTAGATAGAGAACAGGTAAGCGGGCCTGTTACTTCCTGCCAACGTCAGGGCTTATGGATTGTGGCATGGTGCCCAGGCACCTGTCAAGGGGGAAACAAAGACTCTGGTCAACCATCAAGAAGCTTATTATGGTGATTTAACTGCATATTAATTGCTATATAAAGAGAACTTAACAGATCCAATCTCTGTTTCCTCAGTGCTCAAGACTAAGCCAGTTGGGGAAAGAGACCTCTGGTTCTCCATCCCATCACATAAACACACACATACACCATGACACACACATGGCAGCTAGGAGGCACAATGGATAGGGCACTGGACCTGAAATCGGGAAGGCTTGAGTTCAAATCCTACTTTCAAAGCTTGCTAGCTGTGTGACCCTGGGTAAGTCACTGAACTCCTTTTCTTAACTATAATAATGCCAACCTTCCAGAGCTATTGTGAGGATCAAATGAAATATCTGTAAAGCACTTTGCAAACCTTAAAGGGATATATGGTAGTTTTTACTATTATTATAATAATACATCCCAAGAAGAAATAGCTTCTACCATTTACTGAGAGAGCAGACTATAAAGATTAGAAATCTTCCTTCCAGAAAGACAAAGGATGAGAGGGAATATGATTGAAGTGTTAATAATCATGGGGATATAGAGAAAGTTAACATGGATTCATTCACCAAATCTCAAAACACTAGACCTGGGAACACCCTTGGTGTTGGAAAGAGGTAGTTTAATGCACATTAAATTAAGTATAATGCGATCTTATTGTAAGAGGGCTATTTATTACATGGATTTTAATATAAAATGTGTCAACTCTCCCAACAATGCCATATAATAAAAACCTGATCAAATACAGTGTTGGGGAATCTGTAAGGATGTAGAGGGCCACAGGCTGTTCATGAGGTCTCACTGATGGGCGGAGGCCCCTCTCAGGTGATTGATCTATGAGCAAAGGTCGCCTGGTTCGGTGCTCCATTCTATGCATCTCTAACTTCCCTAGTTACTCATTAGTTATTAACAGTGTACTTGTGATTGGTAGTAGGTAAGTGCATGGACTGTGCATGCACTGTCCTTGAGCACAGCATGGGTTATACGTCATTGTAACTTGAGAAAGAGTTCCTGTTATTTTACTATATAAGTAAGTGCTTTGCTAAAAATAAACAGAGTTGCTGCCATCTTTTCTCCCACCTCATCAATGCATGCTTGGAGTGAAAGATCAAGTTGGTCTTGATTCTTCAGGTGATTGGGAAATCCTAGGTCCCAGGTAGGCTCTGTAGCTGAGTGAACTAGTTGTGCACAACAATACAGCATAATTTTAAAATATAGTAGGGTATGTGTATATGTGTCTAGAAAAAATGTTAGTCTTGTCTTCTAGCACTTGTCATGGAAAGTTATTTCTGAGATCACAGAATCTCTAAATTGAAATGGACTCATAGCTTATCTAGCCACATACTGGAGTTCAGGAAAATGCAAGCTCCAGCTTGCCACTCATTAGAGTTCAGGGGAATGCAGGCTCCAACCTGCCATCCACTATTGTTCAAGAGAATGCAGGCTCCAACTTGTCATTCATTAGAGTTCAGGAGAATGTAAATTCCCTGAGAGCAGGGACAGTTTCAATTTCTTCTCTGTATCCCAAGCACCTAATACAGTGCCTTACATACAGCAGGAGCCTAATAAGTGCTTGTTGCATTTCACTGTAATGTTTTACTCAATAGGTAATAAACATGTGAAATGTGTTACTCTTTTCACATCCTACCCCTGGACTTGGCACATGCTTAAAACAGAGATCGGGTAAATCCATGATTGATAGATTCATTGGCTCCATATTGAGTTATTAGGTGGAAATTAAGGCTTCACAGGACACCCAGGAGAAGCAATAGATTTAAGATCAGAAGATTTGGTTTCAGGTGCCTATTCTGACACATACTAAAAGTGTGACCTTGGGCAAGTCAACTTGAATTCTCTGAGTTTCAGTTTCTTAATTAGTAAAATGAGGATAATAATACTCACACTATCGATGTCCTGGAGTTATGAGAAGTGCTTTGCAAACCTTCAGGTTCTATATAAATGGTATTTAAGGTTGACATGAAGAAGAATAACCACATCCCTCCACAACCTGTGCTCTGATGCCTCAGTGGAAACAAAATATTGCTATTAATGGTTAGCATTTATTTGGTGCTTGTTATATAGAGGCATCATGGTAGAGCAGACTTTGAATCAGGACACTTGGGTTTAAATGTCTCCATCAGATCTTATGAGCTGAGTGACCTTGGACAAGTCACTTAAATTCTTTGGTTCTCAGATTTTCACCTTTGAAATGAGAGGATTGGACTAGATGACTCTAACATCCTTTCCAACTTCAAATCTATGATGCTGTGATAAAGGTTATACATAATACACACATACAAATATAATGTAATTTCTTCACCAAAACTATGAGGTAGAGAGGCTAGGGGGTCCACCTTGTGGGATACAAGTGGGGAGTACAAATATTATTGTCCCATATTACAGATAAGGAAATTGGAGTTCTGGGAGACAGGGGTTCACATTTTTCCTTTTCACCCCAACCTCAGCTCTTATCCTCGGCAGTTTCAATATCCAGACTTATGATGTTCATCAACCTCTTTAATTCCAAAAACTCTACCTCTACTCTACCTCAGTAACCCCCAAGAAGACTTTTATAACACAGTCTTACCTCTAATATCTTCAACCCTGAAATTTTCTTTCAATTTCAACCCTTGATTGTGCCTCTCCACTGTGTCACTCCTTCTGCACCTGCCCTTAACCCTCACCACAATTTCTGATCTTCAATCTTACCTCAGTCTTCTAGTCCATAAACTCTAGTCTCACTTTATACCCTTCGATGTTGACCCTAGAGTCAACCAATTTAGCAAAGCACCGCCATTCACCTTGAATCTACTGCCCCTTTGCCCAATATCCATTTACGTGCTATTAACCTTCAATTCTGGGCTACCTCCACCATCTCTCTTCTAGCACTCTCTACTTCCAAATCTCTGAAGATTGCTGGAAGGATTCACAAAGTTGTACAGACCAGTCTAATACAAATTTGTGTTACTTGCCTCATCTGGGACCTCACCATTGCACAGTGATCATTTAAATCATCTTTGATTAACTCTCTATGACATTTGCCACCAAAGCTGTGCCAAGCCTTCTCCTCTCTCAAGCACCCAGCTCTGCCTTCACCTCATCTCTCTTTCTTCAGATGACTATATCTCCTATTCTATTGAGGAGATTGATGCCATCCATCACCAGCTCCCTCAGCTTTCCATTGTTTCTTCAAAGTTTAATGCAGTCTCAGAGGATGAGGAGACCTTCACAAGGAAAGGTCCAGTCGTACTCATATCCTTAATCCCCTTCCCCGTTAGCTCCTTTGGAATTTCTCCGAATAACTTCTTCTCCCTGGCTTGTACACAGTAGACACTTAATCACTGTTTGTTGAATTGAATTGTATTGTTAATAAGCAGCAAAGTTGAGACTCAAATCTAGGTCTTCTGATCCCAAATTCCTCATTCTTCCCATTACCCCACAAAACTCCCTCATGGACCACGGGGTTGACCCAGTGTGCCAGTGCTGATACTCAAAAGCCTATATATGCCATCTCTCCTGGCAGGACCCCCCCCCATTTCCCCTGGCTTCTCCAGCTCTCACTCCCTTCACATTTGCTCACCCCTTCAATGGGGATTGAAATGGTCCTTTCCAAAGATCAGGCAGTTATTCAGTTTGAGGAGAGATGGGCCAAAATTCTAGAGAAACCCTACACCGCATCAGCCCTATCAACGTAAACCTGGTAATCTGGCTACTTGGGAGTAAATGTCAGTGCTCAGCACACAGCCAGTGATCAATACACATCCATTTAATAAGCTTATTAATCTTTGACCCTGAAGAGTGGACCTGGACCTTCATGCAGGGCAGGCTGCATTCCTGGCCTGGGAACGCCTCAATTGTAAGATTCTTGGGGTAACCTTAGCCAAGCACCAATGTGAAAATCTCCAGGGTAGGAAGTGCAGCCAGGAAGACAATACGAATCCCAATGTTCTTCATTTCCACTGAGGAAACGGACTCTTGCTGGAGCGAAAAAGGATTTCAGTTAGCACTTAACACCTGGCAATAATAAATGTTAGGCACTGAGGTGAGTCGTTCAGTGTACAAACATTTATATAGCACATACTCTGTGCCAGGCACTGTGCTAAATAAACACAGGCTCTCCACAAAGTACATTCTCTTAAAAACAGCTAAGCAAAGGCATTCAGTCGTGCGATGACAGTACAAGTTACTTTACGCATTTGTAGTTTACTGATAGTTAACAGAAAGGAAGGATGTGGGTTCTAACCTCAATAGAATGGTACCGGCAAAGTCCATTGTATTTAACCTGATTACTGCATTATTTAAAGTACTGTGAAGATGTCAAGATTTCAAGGTGGTAAGAACCAAATACAGGAAGCTGAAAGGAGCACAGTTCTGATGCCTGGAAAATGATATTGCATGTGAAGTCCTGAAGAAGACTCGCTCCAGGGCCTAAACTGGCCCAACCATTTAAAACCAAGTGCCCCTCGCTAAGGTTAGGCTGAGACCCTTAGCTAGAGATAAAGGAGGCTCATGTTTACCTGCTTGATAAACCAGACTTACCCACACCAAAGGCTCCTAGCCCAGGGTGATCACTGCCCCATTTCTTGGAATTAGTTTGTTTTTACCCCATATGTGCTTTTCCTTACCTAGGTAAAAGCCGCTACCCTGGGTAGAATTTCAGTTCTTTGAAGGAAGGGACCATTAACTTTTTTACTATCTCCCCAGTGCCTAGCAACACATAGAAGAATCCTCATAAATGCTGGCTGGTTGTCTGAGACAGAGAGGATCACATGTTATTCAATAAAAGAATTCTCTTCCTCCTATACCTTGGCAACTAGAGAGTTTTATGTCTCTCAGTTAGCAAAAAAGAACTCAGGCAAGTGATTTTGCTTTCTCAAGGTCAGTTCCTTCATCTGAAGAACAGGACAATAATATTTGCAATACAGTGACACTGAGTTGCTCATGAGGAGGTGGGGAACCTGCAGCCTCGAGGCCACATATGGCCCTCTAGGTCCTCAAGTGCGGCCCTTTGACTGAATCCGAATTTCACAGAACAAATCCCCTTAATAAAAGGATTTATTCTGTAAAATCTGGAGTCGGTTAAATGCACCCAAGGACCTAGAAGGCCGAAGGTTCCCCACCCCTGGTTTTGCCAACTTTGAAGAACCACATATATGTCACCTAAATACACAATTCATTAGAAAGCTTTTTTTTAACCTTGATCAGATCTCAATTGAATTAAGGCTCAGAGAAACTGCAGACACTTGTATAAAGAGATTCAGTGATTCATTTGATCCTCACAACAACCCTGGGAGGTCAGTGCTATAATTATGCCCACTTTACAGATGAGGAAACTGAGGCAGATAATGACTTGTCCAAGGTCACACAGCTAGTAAGTATCTGAGGCCAAATTTGAGCTCAGGTTTTCCTGATTCTATTGCCAATACTCTAACCTCTGCATCACCTAACTGACTAGGAACTTTCAAAATTTTTCTCAGTCAAGTATGGTCTGGTGGCAACAAAAGAAAATTTCATTGGTTAAAGGATGTCTAGGTTCAGCTTCAGAAACAGCTCCAAATGTCTGTCAGGGCTGTTTCTTTATAGTCTCTCCTTTTTAGTATGTGGAGGGAAGGGGAAGTCCTTAAACACAGGTCAGGATTTCACTTAGTTGGGATAGGTTTTTGTTTTTTGGAGGCAGCTGGGGTTAAGTGACTTGCCCAGGGTCACACAGCTAGTAAGTGTCTGAGGCAAGATTTGAACTCATTTCCTCCTGACTCTAGGGCCAGTGCTCTATCCATTGTGCCACCTTGGCTGGGATACTTTTAATCAGATACAGAGGGATGGAGAAGATGATCTTTCAAGCAATCTTCCTACATGACTTAGATATAAAAAATCAAATCATAAACAAATTAGAGGATCAAAGAAGGAAGTACCTTCTGAAACTGTGGATAAGAGAGTAGTCATAACCCAACAAGGGCTAGAGAGGGTCCAAGCTATCAACAGCTGTATTAAAAAAAAATTCCAAATCAAGAGTCCTTCCTACTCTGATAATAGGACCCAACCCACCAATCCCCTTCCCACAGAGAATTCTGGAGCAAAGAGTTCAGGAATAACTGGTCTTATTCCAATGCCCACCGTTCTAAAGTGACAGAGAATTAAGAGAGGTGGAGTCAACTCTGACAACTCTGGGCTAGGTCTAATCACAGCTTTATCATCAATTCTAGGACGTGCTGGGTGGGCTCTGAGGCAGACCAACCCATAACCCCAGATCCACACAAACACCGAAGAACAATCCCACTCACCACAATGAAAACATGAATGGAAGAAGACTCTGGGCTCAATTCTGAAGGCAATAGTCTCCAAACTGTTTCTCTCAACCTCAACCAGCCTCTCTGCCTGCAGACACTCACACCACTCTCATTCACCACCCCCTTTGCTCCACCCTGTGTCTAGGTTAGAGTAGCCCTGTTGCCATGGTCTGAGAGTACTGATGCCACCACTTCATTCAGCTGTGTCTGACTGTTCTTTCTACCCACCTCCCCTGCCCATATTGCATCCCCTCATGCCATAGGTGCAATATAAAGAAATCTCCAAATGCTGTCCCTCTTCCATCTCCCCACCCTCAGTTCTCCATTCTCCCTACAATACAGACAGGAAGAAGTTCCAGGGTTCCAGTGACCTTGTCCCACATGCCCTTCACCAGGGTGAGGTTGAGGGGGTCTGGGGAGAATACATGGAGACGAAAGCAAGCAGTTGAGTCCATAGGCCCTCCCTCGTGAGCTTCCTCCCAGCCTGGAATTCAGACGGAGGAGAGACAAGTCTCTCCCACTCTAACCAATATCCCCCTGACTCTGGGCCAGGTCAACAGAACCACAGCGGCCACAGGGCTCTAAGCCCAACCAAATGACAGATCTCCTGCCCTTAGGCCACACCAGGAGCTGGTCCTCAGCCAAGCCTGCTCTGTAGTTGAAAGAGGGATATGGAAAGAAGGTAAGTGGAGTGGTTAGACAGTGGGGAAGGCTGGACAGACAGTAGCATGGAAACATCAGGAAAACTAACCCGTATAATTTGGAAACAGAAAAAAATGGAGCTAGCTCTCTCAAAGGACCCAGGACCCCCCACCCCAAACTGTCTCTTTCAGAGGAAGGGTTGCATGAATGCTATAGGAATTAGTCTCTTGTGCTCCTCAGGATAGCTCAGGCCAATCTCTGCCTCTCACCATCCAGGGTCCTCTCCTTTAGGCCTCTTTGGATCAGCAGACAATAGACTTTCCCTTACCCCCAGAGAGCCAAGGGCCATACCTGTGGACCCTACAAGTGAGTGCCAGCAGTACAGGGTATGGAGGCCAGGTTAGAGTTGCTGCTCCCCCTTCAACCTGGCCAGAGATGACTGATCCTCTGTTATAACATTAACTAGTACCCAGACCTCAGGTAGCAAATCTTTGTGAAATGAGGGAGGGAAGGGAAGAGAAATCAGAAAAGGTGGCTGGGAACAGGAATCTTGAGGCCATTTTAAACCATGTCCTTCAGGAAGGCTATGGAGCCAGGCAGCAATGAGAATGGAGAGTCCAATGGTGGTTTAAAGCAGCTAGAGATCCCAGGAGGGATATTAGACTTATCAGACTGATGTCAGCCTCAATAAAAGAATGGAGGGAGGGACCCTAGAAACCAGACCCCACAGTTACAATACAGCCAGCTGGTATATGCTAAGGGCAGGTTGAGTGGGTTGGTGCCAAGATCTGTGCACCACCAGACACCAATCTCAGCCTATGTAGTAGCTAGCATTTAAAGAGTGAAGTGAGAAAGAGGGGAGGAGGAGGAAATAGAAAGAGGGAAGAGGTACGCCATGGTACTGAGTGAGATGGTGGAAGGGAAGGGGTGAGTCCGCATGGCTGATATCAAGGCAAGCATCCTTGTGCCAGGAAAAGAGGGTGTTCTCAGGTAACCCTCCCAGTATTATGGGATCATATCAGAGAGACATCACATTATAATGGAAAGAGAGGTGTGCTTGAGATCAAAGTGGTCTGGCTGTGTGATGTTGGGGAAGTCACTGACCCTCTCAGGATCATCTCTAAAAATTAGCACAGTAACACTGGTACTACCAGTTGTAAGTAAAATGCTTAAAACTCTATGGAACATGTCGTTGTTATTATACCATCAGGGCTGGAAGAGATTGACTGCTAAACAGATTGTGATATCAGAATCATCCTCTTTATGACTACAAGACCAAAAATCTATCTGGCTCTTCTTTTCGACCAACCAGCTAAAGATACAGAATGGTAATTCTCTCCCCTGCCCCCACTCCACCCCCAAGGTAGAATGTAGACTGCTGGGAAATTAGAGCTATCCTCTGGCTATCTAAGAAGGGGTGTAAAAAGCAAAAAAAAAAAAAAAAAAAGGAAGGCTCACAGGTGCAGAGTGCAGCAAGACCCCTAGGCTTCAGGGATTTTGCCCCTTAGTGACTTTCCTAATAAACTTTTTAAATCATTGTTGTAGAATGAGGTTGTTTCCTAAATTAGAATAGGACATGATGCCCTTCATATCCCTTAAAAACTATATTCTTCCTAGATCCAATGCAAGATGAGGGTAAGGTCAAGATGTCAGAGACTATATGACCTCTGACCTTTGGGGGGCATTTCTGAGGTTCCCCTCTCCCTGCCCATAGCCTGCTGGACCCACCAGATCTGCAGGCAGGGAACCACTCTCCCCCCTCCTCCACTATAAGCTGCAGAATCCCTATCCTCTTCTATCTTGCACCCAGCATCTTGTACCAGATCACAACAAACCAGGCTCCAACAGGTCCAGGCACATGAGCAGAAAACAAAACAACTCTCCCTGGTACAGAACCGTACAACTGGAAGAGAATATTAAAGATAAATTAGCAGGACCTTGGTTAATAAACTGTAACTCACAAAAGCACTTTACATATATTACTTCATTTGATCCTCACAACAGCCCTGGGAGGTCAGTGCTATAATTGTCCCCTTTTTACAGATAAGGAAACTGAAGTTGATAATGACTTGCCCAGGATTACACAGCTAGTAAGCATCTGAGGCCAAATCTGAACTCAGGTCTTCCTGATTCTGTTGTCAATACTCTAACCTCTGTATCACCTAGCTGATTAGGAGATCAATACCTGATCCATCAAAGATATATGGCAACTGATTCTAAATTAGAGGCCCATTAGACCATTAGAGTTGGAGGTCCTACAAGCCACTGGAGCCATCTCTCCTAGTCTTCTATTAGGGAGGTCTTCCTTGTAGTTGAACCTATACCCTTTCTGGAACTGTCTGCCCATAAGCAAGTCACTTCACCTTTGATTTCTAGGATCTTGAAAGTGATACTGTCCACAAATAGCATTCATGTCTTTTCTCAGGTCATCTCTGGATTCACTTTGTAACCCAATGGAAACCAGAGGTCTTTTCTCCTAAACCTGTTACTATTTGTCAACCTATATAGTTAGTTTCTTTATCTGTAAAATAGGGATAATAACAGCATTTACCTCTCAGAATTGCTGTGAGGACCAAATAAGATATTTATAAAGTGCTTAGCACAGTACCTGGAACACAGTAAGTACTATATAAATGCTTATTCTCTTTCCCCCTTTAGGGGGGAAAGGTTTCAGCAAAGCACTGTATCTCCTCTCTATGTCTCTCTCTCCCCCCTTTCTCCTTTTTCTTTTCCTCCTCTTCTCCTTTCTTTCTCTCTCCTCCCTCTTTCTCTTTTCCTCCTCTTTCTCGCTCTTCTCATCTCTCACTTTCTCTTCCTCTTCCTTCTCCCTCTCTTTTTCTCTCTCTCTCCTCTCCTCCTCCTCTTTTTCCATCTTTCTCTCATCTTTCTCCTTCTCTCTTCTTGCCTCTCTCTGTCTCTCTCTTCACTCCCATGCCTCCCCCAACAAGGGACAGAATAGGGGGAGGGTGAGCAAGTATATTCTCTGTAGTAATGAAAAATAATTGGTCTTTGCATTGTCCTCATACATATCCATTCAGAGATTTGTTACATACTTCCCTCCCCCTGGCTTCTCTTCCCCATTCTAATGGAGTCCCTGGCCTTTCCTAGTAGGAGCTGTTCTCCATCCATCCCTTTATTTATCTGTTCTCTTCTTCTCAAAGTCCTCTCTAATCTCTCCATATCTTAAAATGTACCCAATTTGTCTGAACTAAAACTAAATGCAATAACCAATTTTACGGTGATAAAAGGACAAGTGATAAAACACAAAAGTGTGGGACTACAGGTGCGGAATATCACATACGCTATTAATTATGGTCACAATGTCTGCTGATTTTACTTAATTGTTTTTCTTTGTTACAAGGGAGGGTTTTAGAGCAAAGCATATTGGTAAGCGACTAGTGTGAAGGAAAAAAATTATTAATAAAATAAGATGTGCCCTATTTTAATTTTCACAATGGTCTAATAAAGACCTTCACAGTGTCTAGCAAAATACAAGTGATTTTTAGGATCATGAAAGTGATACTGTCCACAAATATCATTCATGTCTACTTTCTTTTCTCAGGTCATCTCTGAATTCACCCTGTGACCCAATGGAACCCAGGGGTCTTTTCTTCTAAACCTATTACTATTTGTCAACCTATATAATTAGTTTTGTTATCTGTATGCACAACCTGAACTAGTAAAACTTTGGAGTGATTAGGCCATCCCTGCTTTTCAGACTGTGGAATAAAATGACTAGTTAACTATTAGATACAGGAGGCAGTATGAGGGGAGGTACGGGTGAGGGTGGGTGGAAATGAAAAGTTCCCTCTTCCAGCCAATACTTTAGATCTAAGGCCAGGACCAGATTGCTGAATGGAACCATTGGCAAAGACCAGGAGTCTTGGCAGGAAGTAGAAAGTTCTAAACCTGGGCTGTTTCCCAGGACCCAATGCAGCTACGTCAGGTTTCTGTCTGACCCACCCCTCCTGAAGTTCAGAACCCAACCCCTGCTTTGCACTCTATGGTGTCAAGCCTGTATTTCCTTCCAGAAGCGCTGGCCTGGTAATTCAATTCCAGATCCCCTTCTCCCCTCCCCACTTGCTTAGGCCCTCAGAGGGCAGAAACAAAGGCAGTTTAGGAGAGAGAAATGGCCAGTGAGGAAGGTGGTACCCATTGTGATTGATCAACCTTCCAGCCCAGAGATTTAGTAGGGGTCCTCTCATTTTGAACCTTTCCCCTTCCAAACCCCAACAAAAATGTAGAAATTCAGGTTCCCAGAGACACTGTAACTCACAGGAGGAATAAGACCTTTGAGTGAAGCCCTTCAAGGAGTTAGAAGGATTCAGTGGTGAAATAGGCATGGGAAGGAGAAGGTCAGCTTCAGTAGAAGCCTTTCTCCTTATGTCCGTCCATCCTCCTTCCCTCTAATCTTTATCACTGGACTCAACTATCTCCCCAACAATGCCAAACTTCCAGATTTCCTGTCTCCCTTTCCCCACCCCCCCTTACCATTACCTCAAATCGAGCTTTCCTAGCTCCTACCCAAACTTTTCTCAGTAATCCAACTACCCAGGGCCAGGAGTGAGATGACCCCTCCCTTGTGAGCTGCACAAGAGTGACAGTCTTGGTGGCCACCATGTCTCTACTCTGCCTGAACACTCATCAGATGGAAAAATTAAGGCACCATAATCAGCATGTCAGCCCAACGCCTATATCCCTAGGGTCCTCACAGGGCTGAAATCTCAAGCTAACACATCTCTTCCTTCAGGGAGGAAGATACTGATGAAGTAAGGCATAAACTCAACATAGTTATTCTCCTGCCCTTTGGTGGGGTTTGCAGGGGGTGGGGGGTGGGGGAAGATAGAAGGAAGGAAGAGAAAGAAAGAAAAAAAAAGTAGCAGCAGAGAAGAAGGAAGCATTTACTACAGGCCTACTATGTGTCAGGGCCTGCCCTAAGCACTTTATGTGAGGATCATTTGATCCTCACAACCACCCTTCCCACCCTTCAAGGTAGGTGCTAGTATTATCCCCATTTTACAGTTAAGGAAACTGAAGCGGACAGAGATTAAATGACTTACCCAGAGTTATATAACTAGTAAATATCTAAAGTTTGAAGTCAAGACTTCCTGACTCAAGGCCCAGTGTTCTATCCACTGCATCACCTAGCTACCTCTAATGAGGAAGAAAAGATGAAATAGATAAAGGGAGAGAAAGAAAGACAGAGGAGGGAGGGGCAAGAGGAGAGAAAGAGAGGAAAGAGAGAGGAGAGATAAGAGGAGAAAAGAAAAGACAGAGAAGAGAGGGAGGGAAAGAAAATGAGAGAAAGAGAGAGGGAATAAACAGAGAGGATAAAGAGAGAGAGGGAAAGAGAAAGAGGACAGAGAGAAAACAAAGTGAGGAAGGGGAAGAGAAAGAGAGAAAGAGAAAGGAAGAAGGGAGAGACAAAGAAAAGACAAGAGAGAGAGGAAATATGGAACCACCAACATAAGCTCTCTACTGGGTAGAGGATAACAGAAATTGTCAATGAAAATATCCAAAGAAATTAAGCAAGTATTTTGTCTGGGGTAAGCTTCTGACTCCCCAACTCTATTCCGTTAAATTCTAATAATTTATTGGGCAATTACGCTATACTCCCTCTCTTTCAAAGATCTTGCTCTTCTCATCATAAAGAAGCCTTCTCCCTCACCCACCCCACCCCCACCCCCACCCCTGCCTCCCTCCATGGATCATGCTAGGGCAAACCAAGGGCCAGTGTGAAGGGAGGCCACATTGAGGCAGGGCTGCTGTGATGGACCCCAGGCCCTCCTAGTCACCACAGATCTATCCATTCCCAACCTTTGCTGCTGAGCTCCAATATGGTGACAGGAATGGTAGGATTCAGCTCCCTGGGAGCAGGACCGAGGGAAATGGGAAGAGGCACAGCCCCTCCCCCCACCAATCTCTCTTTCCTCTTCCCTCCTCCCCATCTCCCCACCCCCTAAGCACAGATGGATTAGAGCCCTGGGGTGAGAAGGGCCTAGGGAATTGGTCCCCAAATGATCCTCTCACAGCAGGCAGGGCAGCAAGTGAGAGGGAGGGGCCAGCAGTCACCCCATATGGTGGTAATAAAGTAGTGGTGGGGGGAGGGGCTGGGTGTTCAGGGGTATGGAGCCGGCAGACCGGGGACACGCTGTGTGGAAGCTAGGCCACCTGCTCTGCTGTAAGGAGGGGCCAAGGAATCCAAGCAGAAAATGGCTGAGCCAGCCATCCGTGGGAACACTCTGCTGGCCCTAGCCCTGCCCCCACTCCCCACTCCCAGCCTGGGCCAAAAGCACCCCAGACTTTATGCCCTCAGCCTCTCTCTTCCCAAGGCCTGACAGTCTCCTGGGGAAAAACATACACACACACACACACACACACACACACACCCCAACGCACACATTCTGACTCTTCACCTCCTCTTCCAGGCAAGGAGGAAATAACCCAGGCAGTACAAATGCCACATTACTGGGAACACAGGCCTTAGTATAAACAGAGCAAGGGGCCCAGGAAGGTCACCAGCATCTGTGAGGAAGAATGAGAAAACGGGGCTTGAGGACCTCGAACGCCTGCCTCTCTCAGCTGTTCCAGGCCATCCCCAAATCCTCCTTAAAGGCAGCCCAGTCCCTTGAGGAGAGCTAGGATGGGAGGCAGCCATCCAAAGAGGAGGCCTGATCCCTTGGCTCTGCAATTCCTTCTCAGCACCTTGGGAGTTGGGCCAAAGAAAGCTATAGAGAACCCAAAGATAGAGGCCAGAGAGACAGGAGGCTGGGCTAGCTACACATGGCTCTGCACACGATAAATGCCCCAGCCCCAGCCCCAGCCACAGGGCTGCTCTAGGCAATACTCTGGAGTCTCCACAGTTTACTTTCCAAAGCCCCACCCCTTTGCTCTTTGCCGACCCCTCCCATAAAAAGATCATAGAGGGCCCGCGGAACTAGAAGGAACTTTAGAGATCACAGCCTCATCCAACCTCCTTATTTTACAGATGAGGAAACAAAGCCCTGGGAAGGAGAGTGGTTCAGCATCTAGTCAATCAATAAATCAGTCAATAAACATTTATTAAGCACCTACTATGTGTTAAGTGCTGGGGATACAAAAGCACAGTGCTTGATACAAAGTAGGTGCTTAACCAATGTTGGTTGAATTGAAACAAGGTCACAAGCACTTACAGAGCACTTTAATTTACAGAGGGCTTTTCTTAGAGCAACCCTGTGAAATAGGTCTCGTACATATTATTTTACAGCTGAGGCCCAGAAAGAAGGGACTTGAACAAGGTCACGAAGCAAGTTTACTGGCAGAAGTAGGACTGATAGCATAGACAACATATTACCTCTTCCAGAGGTATTTCAATTTTAATAGAAAAGCCAGGAGAGAGAAATATTTGATCTGAAAGAATAAATCCTAAATCTCACTAATGGTGAGAATTTCAGGTGTCCTCAAGGAAGGCACTGAAGGAGTAGGTTTCTGAGGCTCCAGAAGTCACACCCACATACCTTTAAGAACAATCTTGCCAGTAAATGTTACCGGATAGCCTGATCTGTCACTCCACCCAGTATTACAGCTACAGGAGGCAGAAGGGAGGACCTGTAGCCTTCCCCCTCCCCTTTTCCTTCCTAGGCCACTCCCAGTTGCAGCCACAGGCCAGATCCTGGGTTTGGTGCCTTCAGGGAGCTCTGTAGGAATGCCTGAGGAGGGTGGGAGGAGAGGACTCATGATTCAGGAGCTCACACACCCCAGAGATAGCAGGAGGTCCCTTTAGGTCAAGATATTCCTGCTGTGATTTGGGGTCCTGGCCTTGGTACAATTCTTAGCCCAGACTGGCTTTTGCCTGCAGCGGTGAGCCAGATCATACAGCTCCCCAAGAGGGAGCCTCCACTTTTCCTACTACCCTGGCTGAAAGGATATCCTGCCCTAGGGTCGGTTCAGGACAGGCTGCAAAATCCAGAGATGAGCAAAGAATCTGCTCTCATTCCTGGCCCTGGGATCTCCACATAACAGACCCCTCCACCCTACCTCCGAGGACAAAGAGAATCAGGGCCCTTCCTAGGCTCTTAACTGGGTCACACCAAACTTCCTCAGACGCATCAAAAGTGGAAAGGCCAGTAGGTAGGAGGCTGAACAGTACCAGACCAAAGGATCTCAACAGAGGTCACTGTGATGGAGAAAAGGGCACTGGGCTTGGAGGTAGGATACCTGAGTCTGATCCTTTCCTCTGTGTTTGTATTCTTCAAATGGAAGGTCCTTGTGGGCAGGGACCATGCCTCCATTTATCTCCTTCAGCTTCCAACATAGGGAAGAACATTCCCAGGGAACTTTCACTCTATCATATGGATCCAGAGGGGAAGAGCATCAAGTGTGGAGACCCTTCCTATTAGGCGCGACCCAGGTTCTTCTTGATTACGTTGGCAGTCAGTGGGGCATGGACTGAAAACACCAGTTAGCACGTGTGGGGGATATTGTTTGTGAGTGCAGAGGTGTGACTGTTTGTAGTCACAAATAAGATCATTGGCGGGAACCACATTTAAAAAAAATTCAAGTTCTATTAAATTAGTACCTTCCAGAGGTGAGACATCACCCAGTGATGTCATTGGTCCTCTTCAAAAACAAAGGACAAACAACAACAACCTTTATCACAACTTCAGGTACAGGGCCAAGGACAACTTACTTCCTCTTTGGGGAAGAACCCACAGAAATAGAGAAT